AAAATCTTTAAAATGGTATAGCAGTTAGGGAACACGTTAATAAGTTTATTTTCATACATGAGCATAAAAATGTCACTGCAAGAGGTGTAAGACTCAGACATAGATTGGAGTAAGTACGATTTTAATTGAATGCACTCATTCACTAAATGCTCGTCTACGTCATCGGGATAGTAATCAATAATATGACGTGCAATTTCCAAATCTATGTTTTCGATATTTTTGTCTTGCAAATCCATTAAAAATTTGAATTTTTTGCTATATGTCTCATAGACTTGTCTCCTTTTATTTAAATCCATAATCAGCTTATCCAACGCAACTTTTAACGTGTCTCTTTAAATCTTTCTGCGCCGTATACTGAGAATTCACCTGTAGACTTATCTGAAAATTTTGGGATAATGCGTCTCTTGTTTATGTAATTGTAGTCTATTATTACACTAGTACTTAATTTTTTAGCTTTTTCGTCGTATTCCTGTAACATTTGATCTGATTGATGTCGTATGTTGCTCACAAAGTCTTTTAAAGAAACAATTAACTTGTTGCCTTCACAAATGTCTAAACCAGGGCTCTGTATTTTTTTATTAACTAAATGAAATCTCTCCAAAACTTCTTCCCAAAAGATAATCAAAATTGCAGTCTCGAGTTTCGCCATTTTATTGTATAAATTTCGTGCCTCTTTCGGAAATCAACTTTCTCAACCTCATTTTCGCTGAAACTTTTGAAAATGTTCATAATGTCATCATAATTATTTTTTAAGGCTTTGACAGCATCATAGTGGCAAGGCCATCTTGTCTGGCTTAAACTTATAACCTGAATTTTAATTTTATTTCACGATTCAACAGTTCCCACCTACGGGTCTATTGTTTTTCGCGGGGCCTGGGGGCCCCTTGTAACCTCGGAGCCCTGGGCTGCAGCCCAAACAGCCCGTAGGTAGATCCGGCCCTGAGCTTGAGACTATTTGAATAATTATAACCGAGGTTATAACTCGCATACTATCTACAATATACTAATTGAAACAGAATTAATTAAATAAACGTACTAAGTAACAAAAATAAATATTAAAATTACAAAGTATTTGACATTTTTCTTAAGCGGACGTATTGTTTGTTGCAGAAAATCATTGACCACGTCTAGACACAACAATCTGCAGGTCCTGCACTCAGCACACTTTACGATCTAAAGGTAGGTCCGTTTTACATATTTAGCGTTTTTATTGCAGGCATTTTTTCCTGCGACCGTTATGTTGCAGGCACATTTTAAAGTCAAAACTTGACATACTATTTTTACGATTGATTTTTAATGGAGTTGAAATTGCGCAATTTGAAATCTGTTAATCGCTTACAAACATGATAATTTAATGCTTTTTTCGCTTGAGGCTGAAATGAATTAGTTATACGTACATAAATATCAAAGAATTATGGAATTTATAGTGTTTTTAAATTCTGCAAACTGTAAAAGTAAGTAAAAATAAACAGGCTTGAAGTTTCATTACTTGCTTTTATAAATTTTTCACTAGTAATACCACTAGAGGTCAAATTATTTCCGGAAATTTTTTCGAGCTCATGAATATTTTGAAAATTATCCCGAGTCGAAGACGAGGGATAATTTTCTAAAAATATTCATGAGCGAGAAAAAATGTCCGGATTTAATTTGACCTCGTGTGGTATTCGGTAAGAAAATTCCACACCAAATTGTGTTTGAAAATCAAATAATTAAAATGTATATTTCGAATTTTGGTCGAATTGATTATTTAGTTACTATGACAACTAAGTGACACCCAAACCTAAAAACTATTTCAGTTTTGAAGCTGTCAAGCGGCACGGCTTAAAAAAATGTTTCGCTTCGGTCATGAAAGCAAAGAAAATATTCGCCAGGAGATTAAGAAGTTGACACCCGCGAATACTAGGAAATCGAAGTCAAGCGTATGGAAGCAGTTTACAAACTTTCATCACAGTTTTGTAATTGAAATGTATCAAAATTATCATGTAAACAAATAAAAACCAGACTCTCAAAAAGATATTCTGTCATTATAAACGTCAACAAATTTCCAGTATAATTCGCTGTTGGGTGCCCACAAGGAAAAAATTTTCACTAAAATTTATCCGTTGCCATGGTGATTTGTCAAAAAAACACGTTTTGATTGGTTAAAAATTACAGGTGTGGAATTTTCATTAAAATTTTTGCTGTTAATTTTTTTCTAATTAAAATTTAATTAAGCCTTTAAGCTCTGACATTAATCTTAATTTTATTTAATTATTCATAGTCATTTCATACCTGATAATAAATTCTGGTGTCCCTTTTCCAAATATCGCCTTTTTTAATAAATTTTTTAACCAAACCAACCCAAATCATCACTCCATATCGATATTTTTCGAAGGTTTATGCATTTCTAGTATGTGTTTTTGTTGCAACTGTATATACAGGATGGTCCGAATTGTATTCCGGAAACTTCGGAAGCACATTCTGCAGATAAAAATAAGTAAAAAAGTTTATATAAATGTATGTCCTAAAATGCTTAGTTTCAGAGATACAGGATGTAGTAGTTTCATTTTTATTACGATTTTTTCTAAATAATTTCTGAAGTAACGTCAATATTTGGATGAAAATTGGTGTCTAGGAGTTTTTTGATATGAGAAATTTGATTTTGATGTCAATATGACTACTACTTGTAGAGGGCACCACCTACTAATTTTTAACTGGTTTGAAGAGTAATAACTTTTCGTTCGTACCTATATAAAACTACTAAGTAAAAAAATATACATTTACGACGTTTTTTACGTAAAAAAGGTGTCTTACTACTTCTACACCCTGTATCTCCGAAACTAAGCATTTTAGAACATACATTTATGCGAACTTTTTTACTTATTTTTATCTGCAGAATATGCTGCCGAGGTTTCCGGAATACAGTTCGGACCACCCTGTATATATTCTAAGACTTAGTGCACAAATGCATCTAAAAATGGGGTGAACAGAAATAGATTTAATTTTTATCGTTTCCTGTAAAATAACGTGGTGAAAATGAGCTTTATGAAAATTCTGCACGGTTTTCAGTTTAATGTTGAAAGGAAATCGAAGTTGTGACTGTTAGTGTGTTAAGCACGTGCCCGTATTTTAATTAACAGAATTAAATATAAACGTATGCCTCACAGCGTGACAAAAAGGAATGAATTCATGATTTACCAAATTATATTTCATATACAAACATAATTTTTATTTATATGAAAATATTTAGTCAACTGGACTGGACCAACAAAGAATTAAAAATATAGTCCGTCTAGAAAGTATCCGGAAAAAAGAAAGCAAAATTACAATTATCGATATATCTTTTTAGGACTTGAGTTAAAAAAAGTATAACAAATTATTAATTTTATTCACTTATGCAACCTCCATTTAACTCTAAACACTTAACTAAACGTCCAGGTACATCCGAAACTAGGTCTACACCATAATGTTCAGTGGCGGTAGTCCAGGCCTGTAAAACTGAGCGAATCAAATCTTGTTTATTTCGTGGAGCTGCTCGTTCCACTTCAATCGCCATTAGTCCCCATATGTTTTCAATGGGACTAAGGTCTGGTGAAGCTGCTGGCTATGGAATTGTTGCCAAATGGTGTTCTTGCATCCAAGCTTGAGTATAGGCAGACGTATGGCATCTTGCATTATCCTGCTGAAAACGCCACCCCTCTGGATATAAAACATGAGCCGTTTCAAGAAGAAAACCATTTAAAAGATCACAATATTTTCCACTGTTAACAGTTCCATCAACTATACACAGTGACACAGAGGTGTAGCACCACGCTGAGATATTGCTCCCCAAACCATTATTTTAGAATTTTAGTGGGAAATTTTGAAACTTGAACGGTAAACATTTTCTTTTAGTAGGATTTTTAGGTGGTTTCCACCAAGCTGGAAACAACTTTCGTCATAAAAAAAAACATTATTAAAATTATCTTCTTGAAAACGTTGACAAAAATCCATTCTTTGCTGCCTTTGTAGAGGTGTTATTGCAGGGATTTTTTTTTGGCTTCCTTGATATATAGCCTTGCGGACGGTTTTGGGACACACTTTTAATTTTTGCTGACTTCCAAATCTGTTAGCCAATTTGCGAAACCCTAGGCGCGGATTCTGTCGTCCTGATGCCACTAAAGCATTTAATTTGTTTTCGGGAATCTTACTCTTTCTTCCTGAAACTGGTCCATGCTTCATATCTGTGCCATTTTTTATCCTCTTTATTGTCTCATATACTGCATTTTTTCCGAGTTCAGTCAATTGCACTAATTTTTTAACGTTTCGAACATCTTCTCTATACAAATATTCCACCATTTCTCTTTATTTTACTTGCGACATTATTTCTCAAATCTTAAGCCGGTTTGCAATCAACAATATTTGACAGATGGTGTTGCCATGCGATTTTGGTCATAGCCTACTATCGGCACAATCTACGTGATGGATTACTGTTGTCTTACAGAAAAAAAATACATTAAAATTAGGAAAAATATACAATTCCGGATACTTTCTAGACGGACGACAGAATACTTTAACCATCTAAGATTTGCTGATGACATAGTTCTAATTGCCAATAGTTCTGAAGAACTACAAGGATATGGAATGGAAACGGAAGGTATAGTGAGAATCAACCTTTAAACGGTCATCACATAAGGAAACTGCAGGTCGCACAAAGCTCAATGGAACGAAATATGCTAGAAATAACCAAGAAGGACCGTAAAAGAATAGAGTGGATACAACAAAAGACTCAGGTAATAGATGTCATCCACAGAGTGAAACCCTCAAATGGCAATGGGCAGGACCCTTAGCAACAAGAACGGACAATAGATGGACCACAAAAATTACAGCATGTTACCCACGAGGAATTAAGAGACCTAGAAGAAGACCGAACCTGAGATGGGACCATGATATTAGGAAATTAACAGGGATAACTTTATGTCAACTATTGACATTTCACGCATTGAAACAGAACGCATTAAGCAAGTTGCAACAGAGACACCTTAGACAACTCTTAAGAATCCGGTGCACAGAGGAGTATTGGCTGGATCTACCTGGCCAAAATTATTTATCACTGAAAATCGTTTCAAAATACTATCTTTTGGTTCAATCTATGTATATTAAAAAAAATGTGTCATATTATTACTTTACAGAATATGATTTTAGTAGGTACTAAGATAAATGCATAAATAATTTTATTAGGACTATCAGACAATCGAAGTTCTTCAGTCTTGCGTCTTTTAGTTCGTTCGCTAGCCTCTTCAAATAACTTTTTCGGTTGTCCTGGCTTTGTCTGTACCTTTGGCAACTCAAACACTCCCCTTAGCCATGTCTGATTATTTTTTCCGAATAGGTCTGGTCGTTGTTTTGCTGCAATCCAGCGACGCTTTATTTCGGACTTCACATATGTAAATTTATGCTTTATTTCCTTAATTTGTTCGTCGCTATAAGGCTCCAATGTTGCCAAATGATTTTCGACAAATTCTAACTTCTCGTTAATATCGAGGCGATTTTGTGCACTCATCAAGTCAAATATTTCTCTACGAGTCATTGCCCTAATGCCAGATGGTCCTAAAGTAAAGGAAAATGCAAAATTACTAATAACTTGAATGTCACAGGCCATGAAAGTATCAGCAGATCAGCAGAAGATAGGTACCTCCGTTATATTATTTTTTTACATTTCGCAAAACAGTAAGCTTTAAATATTTAATTAATCAATAGGTGGAGTATAGTGGACCTTGAATATATGATTTTTAGGAAGGGAGAATACTGTTCATTTATCATCTCTACAAAAATCACTACCGGGACGAACCCTGAAGTACAACAAAACACTTTCAGTTATAATATCTTTTCATAACACAAACAAAAGTACACGATTTTTTAACATAAAGGAATAAGCGCATAAGAAACCGATAATAAACAAAAACTCTAATATGGAAATAAAGGTAAAATTACCTGCCATTTCAGAATCCATGAGATTTTAGTCTTGAGAATACACCAAAAAAATACAACACTTCTAAAAGTCACATTTTTCACACAGAAAACAGTTCGAAACAATTACTGCTTTTTAACGTCCGAAAACCGATTGATGCATTCCATTTTATGGTGGAGTGGGACACCATAAACACTAGGTTCGGAGCGGGGGGTCTCTCTGGCATTGCTTGAGAACCGTATCTTTTTATCTACGCGTGATTTTCGGAAATCACTTTTGGCCAGTTAGATATAAAAATTATTCCTTTGTATTTGTGGTTCTCCTCTCTCCGACGGGCTGGTCACGTATGCAGAATACAAGAAAACCGCATACCAAAGTATCTGCTTCACGGTGAGCTTGCAGACGGTAAGAGGAGGCCAGGTGGGCAACTCAAAAGGTACAAGAACATTTTCCACGAAAACTTAAAGGGGATTAACATGCAGAGTTAGAGGGAAGAAGCAGCTCACAATAGAACTCAATGGAGAAGAATTGTAAACTCAGTTAACAGCGACAACCAAAAAGTAAAGAGGCAACAAAGCAATGAGATTTTTGAATGTCCGGAGTGCGGTAGGCAGATAACATCACGTATCGGGCTTTTCAGTCACAGAAAAGCTCATGAAAGAAAACGCCTTGCGTGACCATTTTCTGATGTTTCAAATACTCGTCAGCGAGTAATGGCAGTAAGTAGTATGTATATTGATATTTTTATTTAAACAAAATAGCACTCTAAATTTCAATCTAGAGTGCCTAGTTCACTCAAATAAAGTAAAAAAAAATGCCATTGTATTGTGTAGAGAAACACCCAGTATTTTAAAATCACTTCCTGTTTTAAAAATATTCTAGTAATGAACTGCTTTGTTTGGCTCTGTCCTGGTTAACTTTAAGATAGGTACACACTATTCATTTTTAAGATAGTTAACACAACATGTCAACCAGAATTTTATTTGGTTTTTATGAAAGAGATATGTGTTTTCACAAATTAATTCTGGAAACACAGATTACAAATTTACCAGAAATATATGGCCTCTAATCAAATGCAATATAGCGAGAATCTATTAAATTAGATTTATATGCTTTGTTCTATTTTCGAAAGAAGGTTATATTTTCTATTTAAAATATCAAAACAGTCCGCCTAATAAACTTTACGTTTTTCCTTTGTCCCGGGCGGCTAATATAAAGACCGATAAATTTAAGAAAGAGAAAAGAATTGGCAAACTACCAGATCTAACTCTATTAGAGTTGCGAGCTACTAACTAGTAAATCCTTGAATCTTAGAACGTCTGAGAGACTAAATCGAGCAGATAACGAAAGGCTATATATTTATTTATCTGGGGAGATAATGTATTTTTAATGTATTTTTCAATAAGTATCTCTACATTTTACCCTGAGCCACACGAAAAACGACCACCTTAAAATTTTCATGTATTTTAAATTCAATATTTTGTATGATTAATAATTTAATCATATTGCATTGCATTGAGAAGTTATACTGGAACCAAACAGCACAAATAAAATTGTCCAATACCATGTCCAATCCCATACAAGTTTAGAAGGGGGGGTGCGACAGGGTTGCGTGCTGTCTACACTCCTATTTAATTTATACTCAGAAGCTATTTTCCAAGAGGCTCTGGAGGACGTGGAAATGGGGGTCAAAGTTAATGGAGTGTGGATTAATAATATCCGCTATGCCGACGATACGGTCTTAATTGCAGACAATATACACGATCTACAACAACTGGTCAACAAGGTAGGAGAACAGAGCAAAGCAATGGGTTTAAACATCAACATCAAGAAAACCAAATTTATAATTATATCCAGAAACCCAGATGTGTTTATAAACTCCATCCTAACATTTAACTCAAGGCCCATAGAAAGAGCAGATAAATTTAAGTACTTGGGCATCTGGCTCTCCGAAGATTGGCCATCAGACAAGGAAATTAAATGTCGCATCGAACAAGCTCGGCAGGCATTCTTGAGGTTTCGAAAAGTACTTGTCTGTTCTAATTTTGACCTTAGCCTTAGATTAAGATTCGTAAAGTGTTATGTGTGGTCGGTGCTCCTTTATGGTATGGAAGGTTGGACATTGAAAGCAGCTACCATCAACAAATTGGAGGCTTTTGAGATGTGACTATATCGCAGAATCCTGAAGATACCTTGGACGGCTAGATTGACAAATGAGGAAGTTCTCAGACGCGTTGACAAAAAGCGTGAATTATTTGAATTGATTAAAAAGAAAAAGACCGCATACCTGGGGCACATAATGCGAAACCCCAAATATCAATTCTTGCATTTGTTGATAGAAGGCAAGATCGAAGGCCGGAGGGGTATCGGAAGGAAGAAAATGTCTTGGCTGAGGAATATTAAACAGTGGACTGGGCTACTCGATGTTCAGTCGTTTGGTTTGGTAATACACACCGCCCGGAACAGAGAAGCAATGGAAAATGTTATCGCAAACATCCATTAATGGATCTGCACTAGAAGAAGAAAAAGAATAATTTAATCTATGAAGCATGCCTTTGCTTTTGGTCCTAATCAACACACCTATGAAATAGTGTTTATTGGTTTTGTAATCCAACAGTCATTGAATATTGTTATTGTTTCTGAAAAAAAAATGAATACCTATTTGTTATTTCAAAAACTGATAAATAGTTATCTGCAATAAATATAATAGGACCACCATGTTTACTAACAAAAGAACATCTTATAGAAACACTTCTTACTTCTATTCTAGTCTAAACATCTTAAATAACTAGAATTCCTAGAAAGCTAACCATGAGACCACCACAAAATCATCCCTGTCGTACACAATAGGGTTCGTGGGCAACTGTGGAGTTATTTATGTCAGTGCATTTATTTTGGCAAGTATAAATTCATTCTACCCGCCTAGGGGACACTAAATTGACTTCCTACTTTCAAACTTCATGTCTGAAATGTATTCTTTTTCACCCTGGTTCCCATTTTTCACATTTCTATTTGTGTGATGTGTGATAAAACAAACAAAAGTTAAAGTTTCATATGATAATAGCATCTCCCTTGGCGGTGGTAACAAAAAATATCTATTTTATTTTGTAGTTTTATATCTAGTGGCGAAATATTGTTACCTGTTCAGTTTTAATTTAAAAATAGATGCAATTTTTCTTAAATTACTTGAAATCGGCTTGTCCAAAATTGTTCAAATTTGGCGTGCCTATTGAGCATAAGCAGACCTTTAAAAAACCTATTTACGAATTAGTTCTAAATCTCTAAAATTAATAGGGTAGCCAATATTTGGACAGTTCAAAATTTACATGGGATTTCCTATATTTACAACGACGATGCACCACCCGGTATATATACTTATTAAATAATTGTGTTTTTAGAGCTGTTCTCTTTCGCTTGCGGTAGATAATAATTTTTTTATACAGGGTGGTCCGAACTGTATTCCGGAAACTTCGGCAGCATATTCTGCAGATAGGAATAAGTAAAAATAGTTTGTATAAATCTATGTCCTAAAATGCTTAGTTTTGAGGGTGTAGAAGTTTCATTTTTATTTCGATTTTTTTCAAATAATTTATGAAGTATCGTTAATATTTGGATGAAAATTGGTGTCTGGGAGTTTTTGACATAAAAAGTTGATTTTGATGTCAATATGACTCCTACTTGTAGAGGGCGCCACCTACTAACTTTTTAACTGGTTTGAAGAGTAATAACTTTTCGTGCGTACCTGTATAAAACTACTGAGTGAAAAAATATACGTTTACGACGTTTTTTACGTAAAAAAAGTCCTAAAAAAGGTAAAAATTTCAAATCTAAATTATCAATACCTGTCATCACTGACACAAATTAAACATGTTGACTGAATAGCTATTAGACTGAAGTCATAAATTTGAAATATTTTTGTGCCAAAAGTTTAACAGAAATTGTTTTATGATCATATTATATCAAAATTTATGATTAATTTAAAAAATAAAAATTTCCCAAATGTATTATTTGAGTCAAATAATTATCTATTCAACGTGTTTATTTTTTGTCAATAATTACATGTTTTGACTACTTCCATTCTAAATATCTTGAGAACGGTTTCTCGTAGCGAAAAGTTATTACTCCTCAAAATTTCTTAGCTATACAGGGTGTCCCAGAAATAAGTGCAAGTATTTTAACTGGTAGTATAGTTTAACCCCAGAAACACGCCTATGAGGCTTTTTTAGGGAAAAATTTTTTTTTGGAATTTTTTTAGTTTTTAGTTAAAAAACATAATTTCTTGATAATATGGCAACATAGGTGTTAGATTAAATTTACAAGAAAGAAAATCCAGAAAAGATCCAGTGGTTCTCAAAATTTTAGCAAAAAATCATTTTTAGAATAACCTTATTTTGGACTTATTTGAAAAACGATAAAGAGAAAATATGTTTCTTTAATCGAGATCTACCACTCCTTAAAATACTTGCACTTATTTCTGGGACACTCTGTATATACAGCGTGTTCTAAAAAGCATGTGTCATCTTTCGTGAGGAGATTCCTCACGTAGAAATAAGATTTATTTTTGATGTCAACATAGTTCCGATTCTGCTTCGTTTTGTAGGTACAGGGTGGGTCAAATTCGACGCTTTTAAATGGAAACACCCATTTCTATAGGAGATGGACAAAAACTAATATCGGTGTCTGGAGCTCAATTTTTATCAAAAACATGATGGTGAAAACCGCATATCGATATCTGTTTCCGTTTCGGAGTTACGGGGTGTTTTTCAAAAATATGCATTTTTAAAAATGCAATTCTTATCTGCAGAAACAGTTCGGACCACCATGTATATTTTTATTATCCAATTTCTTAAAGCCCTCATATATTTCTATGATTGATTACAACAAAACCTCACAAAATAAAAAGGAACATAAACTTTCCCGAACAATAATTAAGAAAGTGTTTAATCTTGGGATGAGACCACGAGACAAAACCAACGCCAAACTGTCATTTCTCATCCGGGCAAAAACCGAGAAACTCGCCGCTTTACACAGCAGATTAATTATCCTAGAACGCAAGTTTCTGGTCGACT